TTTCCCTCTCATCCGATATACAGAACGTCCCAGATTTAGCGAGCCAACTTCCGCCTACGGATTATTTAACAAAACTGGAGCCAATTCTTTTTCGCCAAAGTACGTGTGTTACTTTTATATTAAATTATATACCTACCACTGATCCTATTTAATTAAAAATTCGTTCAAACGAAATACGTGCAAAATTCAATGAAGAATTGTTCTGAATTGATTAAATGTGGCTCAATAAATTTAGAAATTTCTCATACGATGCCCAAAGAAGCGAAAATCTCTCCAAAGAGAAGAAAACTTTTCGAACGTGTTCCCTTTATTCCTCTTAGAGAAAGGGAGCCTTGCAACTTTTCTTCGCGAACGTGCTTTATTATATTATTATAAGATCTCAAGGTTTTTTTTTTTTGGAATGATGCTTCATTTATTTGGTATAAATTATTTATAACTTGTTATTTGACGCTTATTATGTTGCTATATTCTGTTTGGAGCACTATGTAACTATTGTATTATCATATATTATAATGTTTCTCTCATATACGTATTTGCAAATTAATTAGTATATATTAATATATATTAGTGATTTATATATTATTGCAATAATTATGTAATGTACATTTTGAAAAATACTTGTGCAATTAGGAAAATATATGACAATTTGATAAATTAAAATTTATCATTATTAGATGGAATCACGTTTTTTTGATACTAGTACATCATAAGCTTATTACTCTTTAACAACTCATTTGGTTTATTTGGAATTATGACATGTCATCTTCATTATCTATATGAAGGACATGATTCTGCCATCATAACTGTGGTCTGTATGCTGTCTCGTAGTGGCATGCAGATACACGTGTATAGATTGAGGGACGCTTTGAAGTCACCGGCTCGACCCCATTACGAGAGTGAGGTCAGAATGTATATCATGTATTGAACATTGCAATGAATTACCTTCATCTCACTATCCTTGATGATGTTCACTATCAACATCCTCCTTTATATTTGCCAGCAACCTCCACGTTTTCCTCATCCCCCTTTCAGCATCACAAAATACTAATTACACACACACACACACACACACACACACACACACACACACACACACACACACACACACACACACAAAACACACACACACACACGGAGAATTATCATTTATTAACAAAATTATAACACGAAGAGTCCGTTCCTTGCAGCAAATCCCGACGTCGTGGACGACCTGTTAGGAGTCGCAGATTTGTTTCCGAAATTCAGACCCGTCCTGATAGTCCCGTCGAAAGTCCAAACCATTCCCCGAGAAGCACCACTCCCCGAGAAACCTTAAAGCGCGCTTAATGCACTTCGCATTGGTATCTTGCATCCAACACAAGAGGAATATCAAGTACAAATATGAGTATTAGAATCGATTTCATACCTAACGCGTTCCGTACGTACGTAGCTTCCATTTCTCACTCTAAGTGAAATGTTTGGTATGTATAACCATTTATATATATTTTGTTGATATAATATGATCTTCTTACTTTTTTATTAAAAAATTGTGTTCTAATCAATTTTTTTAAATTAGAATACAATTTTTTAAATGAAAAAGTAATAGAGTCATATATCAACAAAATAAATGATTATACGTTCCAAATATTTCTCTCGGTACAGAGTTTCTCTCGGTTACGAGAAATTTTGTCAAAATCCTATACGTATACAAGAAAGAAAGATATACATTATCTTACTTTAACTTATACACTATCTCACTCTATAATTTTAATTGAAGTTACTGATAGGGGGAAAGAACGATCATTTTGTTGAAATATTTAAAAATTCAGTTTGATGCAGATCTGAAAATAATTTTGTTGAACTAGCAAAATAATTACGTAAGACATTCAAGCATAATGAGCAATGATGCAAAAAGTTTTGACATCCTAACAAATTTATGCCATGCGTTCTACATAATTATTTTAATGGTCTAACAAAATTATTGTGAAATTTGTGTATTTGAAAGACACGAAAGTTTTATCAAAATAATTCGAGTAGTTTTCGAAATTTTTGAAGAAAAAAATGAACTTTTTTTCTTTAATTTGAATATCTTTGAAACTAAGCTGTTTCGGACATATGAAGTTTTCGTTTTGATTTAGTATGAGGAATCATCCCCTAAAATCTTTTAGAGTACTTAACATTACTACCCTGCATACTTCTCTTTCTCGTATAAGGATTTTAATAAAATCGCTCGTAGTCAGACTCTGTTATAGGATCTCTTATACGTTTTGATTCCATATTTCCTCTTTCGATCTTCCTCACGGAAAACAGTGAGAAAAATCGGAAAAGTAAAATGCGCGTATGAAATTGTTCGACTTCAGCGAATCGGAAAATCCTACTGATATTAACAATTACTTTTTTTATTATTCTTCCAGCTACGGGCGTGAATACGCCGATCCCTACCTCGGACATGGCATCGGACCTGTGGCGGGTTACGGGGTAAGAAGGAGCTTCGATTACGAAGTGTACTTTTACGATTTCATTTAACGGTAGTGCCGTTAAATCGCACACATAGATCTCCTGCACGCGTACCATCGCCGTATGGAAGGAGAATAGAGCACCCCGTTATTACGCCATAAATAACAAGCGTTAGAAAAGACCACCTCGTTCGTGGCGCGTTTCACTCACATATGAATTATTAATGCCAGGAATTTTCAACTTACGGGAACTGTGTCGCGACGAAAGTTAATGGTTTGTGCTCCCATCGCACGCATTTATCCTCAAATGCGACTATTCGGACCTCCGCGCCATGCCGGTATCAGTTTGCTCGGTGAACGCGAACTGTACGTATTGTGTAAACGACAAGATGGTCAAACGAAATGGGTGTATACCATGCTCGTGAAGCAGTTTAATCATTCCCGACAAACTCAATTTAACGGGGCGAAAATTAAATAAGTTTTTAGCTCGATCTCGTTGGTTTTCCGAATAGATGGTCCTGACGTTGCACCGCAATGTTGCAGCCGTAAATTGAAATCTTATATAAAACACCGCTTACTCTATTTGCCGTTTATCTTCGGACGGTACATTTTTCAGCTCTCAAAATAAGATTAAGACAAACGGTTGTGTTCAACGCTAAATGCACGGTTTATACATTAGTTTGCGCTGTGTATTACACTAAGATGGAGGTATCTTATGAATTTTTATCCTTGCAGGCAACTGTATACAGAGGTGGCTACAATAGGTTCACGCCATACTAAATGGATCATTAGTAGAACCCAAGAGCCTTCCAAGTTATACTCAGCAGAACATGACCAGACACGAGTCGACACAATCATCACCATCATTTTTGTCATCATCGAGATCATCCACGAGACGACGAGCCTGGACTCTCCCATGCTGATTTTACCTTCCAACTTTGTGACTCAAGATCATCGTGAAAATGCGAAATCCTCGACACAGAAATCGAAACGGAACTGTTATTAACGTGAAAAGCACCGTCTGCATCAAATAGTACCTTCGAAAATATATAAGCGACAATTGAAATAGGCGAGAAAAATCTGTAAAAATGCAACGGCAGCGTCGAGGTCGGCGCATCAAAGTATCGAGTCGTGTTCGGCCAGAAATCGCCTTTGAAGTTGCCTCTAAAGTCGCTCCTCTGCCAGCAGCTATTCGCAGGGGGGAGTCTTTTACTTGACTCCATTTCCATCTGATCAATTAGTCCGAGTAAATTGAACTGAAATCCAAATATCAAATTTGAAATAAAACTAATGGTAACTGCTTTTCACACTTTCGAATTTTACTGCATAAAATTACTTTCGATAATACCATCACGTTTCTCTATATTTGTCATATATTCCTCTTTAATACGATATTAAGCGTTTTAATTTTGCGAACAATTTTATGAGTCACTAAATGGAATATAATAGTAGTTATATTTCTTTCTCTCTCCTGTTTATAGTTTCTATAAAACGCATTCATGTTGTGATATTACGTCTGATACGATGCATGATTCATGCACATTTGCCTATTCACTGAAATATTTGTAATATAGCTGTACATTTATTGTAATTATTTCTATTTAAGTCAACGTTGCACATTATAATTTGCATTCATAGTCTAAATTAGCAGATAGTGTTAATAATTCGAAGAGGCTGCCGAATCGCACGCGCGAAGAAGCGCCTTAAACAATTCGCACAAATATCGTAGGACAATTTTACGCACATGATTTATTTAGATGGAAATAAAATGATCAAATGCGCGATTATTGAATCATTACCGTAAAATGATATGATATACCTTACTACAGTACAAGATATAATTTCTCTGCCATGGCAGCGAGGCATTGACGATTTTAGTCGACACGAACCGACACAAGGTGATCCGAAAAAGCGAGATCTTTAGGTAGCTAAAAAAAGCTCTAGTTAAAAAAAAAACAGAAAAACGATCTAGAAAGAAATAAAGGCATCCATATGACCGGTAGGGTTTCTATGCCAAATATGTGTGTATGCGCTTTTGCGCGCGTGTGTATGCGTAGGTTTGCGAACCAAAACTGTTCTCAATAAACTTAAAAGAGTAGCGGAAACGGAAGAAGACAGGGAAAAGAACCGCTTAGACTTCTGAAACAGTATGCGAGATTTTAATTACACAAAGTCTAATCGAATCGATTTTTTTAATTACAATAGCGCATCTTTGATTTCCATTTAATTCAGTCAATGTCTCGATTCTGAAATCTCATTCTGAAAATTTTGAACTATCTCATGTCTAATTGTTTTTATAATTTTGTCAAAACATGAACTGAATGCATCGTGTATCAAATAATAATAGAAGGATCCGCAGAAGAAAGACTGCAAAGATCCGTTTTAATTTTTATTCTTTGGAACTGAATTTGAGACCTGTAGACTCAATTCCACGTTATGTTGTTATTCGAAAAGTTCCGCATAGCAATTTTATCGCATCCTTTCACGTATCATGTAAGAATAGAACGGCAAATACAGTCATATTGTCTCATCAACGCCGATTCTCTCTTTTCCGAGAAAAATCCGACATTGAGTTTGTCACGTACCCCCCCCCCCCCCCCCTAGTGTATGTACTGCTTATTTATTTAGTTAAGTGACTGAACAGACATGACAATTTTCATTTTTTACTACAGTAAACGTTAAACAGAGTTCACCTCATAATCGCTAAGCGTAGAATCTCAACGCCAATGAACGAGAGCATAGTAATAGTACATAAATAAAGATAGACTTTTAGAATACGTTTTTTGGCGTGACCCAATCTTGCAGGGCGTATCACGAATGCACTATTCGCACGAAGCTCTATCCGCTACGCTAAGAGAAAAGGAGATCCGTTACGCTCAGGTCCCTATTAACCGGCAAAACTCAATATTGTTCAAACATCTCTAGCATAAACGTTGCATACTTAGCAGGTCGTTTCGGTTCCTCGATGTCGAAGTGACGCGCGTGCGTGCTTATAAAACGAACTCGTCTTCATGTCACAAAGGATGATTAGGTCCAGCTAAATGAAATGTCGACCCAGTTGTAACGAAATACATCGAGTAATCGAAAACGCCGATACGGATAGACATTTAATAACGTGAATACTACTTTTCTTTCTTTTTCTTTTCCGTATTTTTTTAGTTACGATGTACGGTAAACGATTGTATCTTGATATAAAAATGTATATGAGATAATTTTTGTATTTACATTTAAGGTTTTTCAGAAATTTTTTGTTGAACACGTCTTTTTATATAAATATATTTTTCGTTCTTTTGGGAAATTGTTAGTTCATTTATAGATTATTGTTTTTATGATCAATCGCTGTCAGTCTTAGTTTCTATTCAAATCGGCGTTCTCGGACACTTGATTTTTTTTTTTGTGACACTGCTTCCTGATCGAGTAGATATACCGGTGCGCTATATAGAAAGTAAAAAATGCTCTATTTGAGAGTAATGTGAAATGGAAAAAATGGTACGCACACTGAGTCGAATGAGTGATATCTCTGTTAAATTAATAGTTAAGCGAGGATTTATCGTACATATTATACGTAAGAGTATAAGATACGTTGCGCCACAAGAATAAAAAGGCGTGTAATGCGAACTGATACAATTAAAATGCGGAGAATAAAAAGGAAAAGAAAAAAGAGGAAGGGAGGAGCAAGAACATAAGAAGTGTGAAATAGCCAAATATGACAAAGATGTTTTAGAAAGTACGGCAAGTAGTTTAGCCGTCGTTACGTTTTAATCTAATCTTCAACTAGGATTATAGGCTAAGCTCTAGAACTCGAGGGCGCTCGAGGCAGGATGACAATTTTCTCTTTTTTTTTTCCTCTCGCGAACGTGTACATGTACATAGATCAACATAGATTTTTCGAGCACAAAGATCGTGGAGGCGCGTGCCGAGGAACACACTATAATTTAGGAAGTACTTTAAACGAGCAAGCAGAAGCCCATTCAGACATACTCATGATTCTCGTAACGTTAAATTAATGAATATAGATTAATTAATTGATTACACAGTAAATACGTAAAACCGGAACGGATTTTGATTTGAGGGAACGTGATGTGCGTGCTCGTCGTACGTGACGGTTGGCGAAAATCGTCGGTTTCTCGGTAGATGCACACATCTCCTTCCGCGTAAAAGAGCATAAGAAACCGTACGCGGGTTCGGAGGAGAAAAAAAGAAATCGAACGAATACGCATTTGGAAATAGAGATTTTTCGCAGCCGCACCTCAACGCGGGTGAAAGCAAGCACACGAGAGAAAGAGAGATTCTGCGAGGTTTATCTCTCCCTGTATATTGTACACTGTAATTACAATTTATACTTACTCGTAATCGATAACTTTATCGATAGGCTATTAATATTAGTGGCTAGCGTAATAAGTCAAGCTCAAATTAGCGAGACGGGAGAGTCGCGCGAGATACTTTTTTTCCCCTCGCGGTTTCGTCGCGTCCCATCTTCGTCATAAATGCACAACTTCTTTTCCTCGATTGTCCCCTTCTTTATGCGCGTTATCGTTGCGAGCAGGCCTATCGTACAAGATGTTCATAGAATCTAGAGGCTAGATCAGCTCTCTCTTTCTCCCCCGCCTTCTCCCACCCTCTCACGTCTCTATTCTTTATTTCTCCTTTTGAATATTGAAGGAATGTCCCGTTAATGAATTTTGTTTTCAACCATTTGCTTTCTATCGGGAAAAGGAGTTACGGAAGGATAATGAGATTCTTTCGGCTGTTAAAAAAAAACAAAGAACGCGACATATCTAGATGATAATATAATTTACGAGAAAGTGCAACACCAAATTTTGCCAAATTTCTGCACGTTTACGTATCTTCAGGTCCCAAATTTCCCTCCCTCTCTCTTTACTGTCACTTCAGTCTTCGTCGAGCGTACCTTCCTTCTCGGATTAAAGGGCTTGTTTCCGTGCACAAACTGATCCATATTTCAAATGGCCCATATAAGAGGATTGAAATTTTTTAAACACAGATTAGAATGATGTGCATAGAGAGGATCTCTTTTATCCTGACGAATAAACGACGGACGCAGCGAAGCGAATTCTCGAGCCTGAATTCTCAACTCCGCCGATGATTAATTTTTACCCTCGTCAATGATGAGACCCAAAGCTAGTGGAATCGCGTAGTGTAACATAACTCAATGATACGCACCGTACATTATACGTATAATGATTAATTAACGATAAATACCGTAAAGGGATTTTTAAATGAATCTAGATGAATACATGACTACATAATGACACATCTTACAAGCAACATATCCTAGGTATTTGAGCAGGGCGCTGCCGGAGTATCCCTCCCGTCTTTATCGTACGATTGTACGATCGACACGAGGAAGAGCATATAATTTGACCGACGCCTCGAAACCGAAAACTGTTTCGAGCGAACGCGGCAGCGCCGTGCTATTCTTTTCGAATTATTGCGAAAAAAATTAATGAAGGATGTTCCATGACATTAGGACGTTATTACTAATGATATTTCTAGCAACGCGTGCGTGTAAAGTTTAATGTATCTGTATATGAAACATGATGCGTGCCTGCGTATATGTGCTGTGTGTGTGTGTATGTGTGTGCGTGCATGACGGATGAGCGAGAAACTCATACTCTTTCTCCACAAATTGGTGAAATCAAGAGCACGAATTAATTAATCGTTGTAAGGTAGCACGAAGACAACAAAATGACAAATGAAGAAGAAATGCCCAGTGATATTTGGATCGCTGAGAAAAACCGAAACTGTTAAAATTACCACCTGTTTTTTCCGCTTTTCTCGTAAAAAAAAAAGAAAAGAAATCCACAAAGAGAAACACCGTTGATATCTTCTGTGTCTCCTTGCGGATTTCCTCCTCAAATCGCGCATAAGCGATTTGTGCGGGCCGACAGTTCAACGCAATAGCGAGCTCGCAAGAGAAATTAATGGAAATCGGTAAAAGAGTAAAAAAAGAAAAGAGGTATAAAAGAGGAAGAATATATACGGTCAACTCGATGAACTTTATTTGCAAAATATTGATAGGAATATAAGGTGTGACTCGTGACACCTTTATCATTGTCTGATTTGATGATATTTTGTAAGTCTGGACCAGTTGTTAGGTTCTTATTAATCTCATAGCAACTTCTTATGGCGTATTTTCTCTGTATATTGTCAATGTTTATTATTAAATATTTTTCAAATAAACCTACGTCTCTTTTTTTCACACCCTGTCTTTATATCCACACAAATTTCGCAAAGATATAAGGCTCACTAATACTTTCACAGTTAGAAGCTTGTATTACATTCAGATTTTATTTTTAACAAACCAGATATTTTGCAAAGTATAAAAATATTGTCATTCAAATTATAGTTATGTTAATTTCTAAGGATTTGCTTTTTTGAAATTTTTGACATAATATACGAACTTCATATTTGCACGCTGTTTTTATAACATTTCATGTCATATTCAAAATATGGAATAAGAAAAATAATATACATATTATATATAATACATAATACGGATTTAAATATTAATTTTAAAAACTCGTAAATGTCAAAATGATAAAAATATCGATATCTAATAATGCGATTATAAATGAAGTCGATAAATAGCATCATGAAAAATTTAACCTAAATAGTAAGACTACTTTCGAGATCTGTTTTCTTTAACAAAATAATCGTAATGCTATGTATGTTAATGTTTCTATTACATTTTAGTATCAGATCTGACAATGAACAACATTAGAATATCATCCCAGTAAACGAGAATGGATTAAAATGGATTCAGATTTTCAGAAATATGGATTCACGAATGTTAAAATGAATGCTTTTCAATCCTGAATGCATTTTTATTTATTTATAGGAATTATATGGAATTATATCTCTATGTCTTTCAATCTAAAAATAATATCAGCTTTTTCTGTGCATTGTGAAT